GGACCACTAACGTTGACCAGCACGTAGGGGATGCGCAGGTTGGGTAGAGTAATACGCCTCACCAAGAGTGCGCGGTCCGAGGCCTGTGCTCCGCTAACGAGTGCTCCATTGTACTAGACGAACGATTCAGAAGAGAGTTGATAGACGGTCGAGCTCTGAAAATGAAAAAAATGAAAAAAAAATGGAAAAAAAGAGGCGCGAGAGGAACATCCCTATCCAGTAGAATATCCATGACACCTCTTGCTTCATGCCGTGCCGGCAGCGACGATGCGAGGCAGCGAACATGAGGTGTCAATTGGTGCGCGTCACCTATGCAGATGTGACGAGCATCTGGGAATCATGAGACCATGGCGGCGAAAGCTGGCTAAGGGATTTGCAAAGCCTCGTCCCCGATTATGATCTTGCAGCTAGCGAGCAACTTGCAGAAAAGGTCGCCTGGACACGTCGATTTGAGAAGCAGCGACGTTGTTATACAAGGTATGGCAGGGAATCGCGCCCGCATCAAGAGTCCCACCGCGTATTCTGTGGCTTCAGAGTTTTCGTCCTCAGCGATCCTGAACTAATCGCGTTCCTCGTCGGAGCGATAAACTGTGTCTTCACCATTGAAAAGTAGCCTTTCAATCAGCCGTCGGCCATGGGCATATGCCCTGAGGCGCTCCTCGTCCCATGCACCAAAAGCGTCAGGAAAACCGGTCAGAAGACCTCGGAGTTGTTGTGATATGTTGTGAAGATCAACTGTTGCGACCGGCGCTCCCTCACTGTAGGGCTGTGTCGGCGACGAATCAAACGACGGGCAAGTGTTGGTATTCGGTCAGCTGAAGCAGCGTGTCCTCGAATCGGCCACCGCAACATTTGTGGAGGCGGTTGCGATCACCAGTATTCCAGCTGGTGCCACTCGTGCAGTTATTACTGACCCCATAACAGTCTTTCCCGTGCCGTAAGCTGTCTGTACTGCTAGGATAGGACGATGCTCACATCCAGGTTGTACCGCGCGGGCCTGGTCTTTCCGAAAAGGAAGGGTGGAAGAGCGATAACGAATTGTCGTGATGGATAAGGGAGGTGACTGTGGCTGCGAAAAGTGTATCCATGCGTAGACGACGGTAACTCGTAGAAGTAACATAGCCTACTGGAGATGTGACGGAATGTGACGGAATGCCCTTTCAAATTTTCTTTACCACTTTTCTGCTCGGAACCTTCAAGGAGCGACCTCTCTCAACAACTTGTAGACTCTCTGCTTTCTTAGCACTATCGTGAAGCTTTTTAGCCTGTTATATTCCTGATAGATGCTGTGAATGACGGAATTTTCCTAAAAACTTACAAGGAAGGGGAGAGATCTTTGGCGATGACGGTTTTGACGCTTCCGCAACTCTCACTCTTTCACCGCATCGAAAAAAGAACCTTTCGCGGAAGAGACGATGATCCGATTCCGTGCAGATCTTTCGAACAACAACGAAGTCAGTCAGACAAAACTTTCTATTGAAACATTCATTTAGCTGTAGCGGTTTATTACCTGCCATAAAAAGCACAAACTTGTTTTTGGGGAAGAAAACCCATTTCGATCAGAGGCATCATGTCGACGACTTTTCATGCCTCAGGTGGTCATTGCAGAAAAAATTTCGACCAAATCAGATGAATCAACTGCACAGCGACGATTCGCAGACGCCAGAGTTGTCATAAAGTTGGTTTCGAGAGCAGACATTGCTTCGGACAGAAGTACCTTGTGGAGACGGTTATAGATCGATTCATAAATTTTCTACCGAC